GTGAGGCTGGCAGCATCTATCGAGTGACCACCGGGTGTGAAGAGATTCGACTCGAAGAGAAGCTACTCAGGGGGCTTGCTTCATCTGACGTGGCGCGGCTGTGGCCGATTTCATTTACCTTGTTGCGTTGCTGGTGCAGGTCGTCGTTGGGCTGACCCTGGCGGCTCCCATTTGATTGACAAGCCGATTGACAGTCATCGAAGGCAGTCTTCAATAGCCCCTTCAACAGGCGCGCTAGATTGATACATGTCTATTGATATCACCGCTGGATATCGATAGGTTCACATATCAATGCATCGATGCATTGATATACTTGGCGAAGCACGTCTTCAACAAGGGCGTGTCTTGTGTTCTTACTGCAGCCCTCTGAGTACCTGCATGTTATTGCCACGTCTGTCTTCGAGATCTGCATGTTTTTCAAGCTCCCGCCATTGTTGTCTTTTTTGACACTCTCGCTATTGTTGCATGCGTCGGTGTGCTTCTCGCCAACACTCGTGCTGTGCATGTCTCTGTGACGCATAATTCACCGCCACTTCGCACGCTGCTTTGGACCCCCGCCCAATTCGCGGCCCGGGGTGCCCACGCAGTGGGTGCCCCTTACTCGGAATCAAAGGAAATCGTTTCGCTCTTTGCCCGAAGAGAAGCTTCACCTTCTCCCTTCAGGCAAACGGTGAAACTGGTTCCCTTCAAGCTTGCTTTCTGGAAGGGAGAAGAAGGATCCAAGGGGCCATGAGGCGTTCATCTCGTGATCATCCAAAAGCCACACTGCTCTGCTTCGATACGGGTGTGCACACAGATGAGGAGGAAACGGCGGGCAGGGATGGTGTTGTTGAGTTGTTGGGTTTGCTTGGTCATATGTTTAGAAACCACAGATCTTCCGAGGAATTGGAACTTCAGCTCCTGCCGACTTATCCAGTTTGGTTGGGTCAGCTACGACGCGGGTGCCAACCGACTGACCTCGCAGTCCCTCTACCTCAAGCCAATCGACGGCGTCACGTGTGCCAAGGAAGCGGAGGCCAAGCATGGCATCACGGACGACATTGTGGAGGACAAGGGTGTCCCTCGCGTGACGGCCTTGGAGCGCATAGCGAAGGTGCTCAACGACGCGCATGCGGCTGGGTGCTTCATTGCGGCCCACAACGTGGACTTCCATGTGCAAACGATTCTGAACGAGATGGTGGAGCACAATTTTGCGGAGAAAATCGTGGCTGAGCTGCGGGAAGCCCTTTCCTCACCCCGAGTGATCGATACAATGGCGGAGAAGGTGCTTATCAAGCTTCGAGACTCGGTCCATTCGGAGTTCCAGGTAGGCTCACCGACCTCCGTTTCTGTGTCTTGACACGGACGCACACTGAATGGTTGTGTGACGCTGTGACGCTTTCTCGGTCAGAACCTCGAGAGTTTCAGCTTCGGCCGACTTGCGGGCAAGTTGCGGTGGCTGACGCGTCATGACATGCATGCCCGGCTGTGCCTCCCCGACGGGCAACAGAAGGCGTACAAGCCCCAGCTGGAGGCCCAACGCGATGCGCGGCTTGTCGGGGAGATGGTGATTGCCATGGAAAAGTGGCAATGCAAACTGTGCTGTGACGCGGAAATATTCGAGTTTGAGCGACCTGCGAAACGTGTCAAGACGGCAAGAGGTGTGAAAGAGACGCGTAGCCGCTTTTCGTTCGCCTGCAGTGATGTTCGTGGATGGAGTGTGTGTGTTGTCGCTTGTCAGTCTGTTCAGGTAGCCGTTATGTGGAGACGCAAAGCACTTGTGCGCCTGAGTCGCAGGACAACACGCAGGTGGGGATAGTCGGGCTCGGATGTGCACAGCAATTCAGACTTCCAGCTGCTGTGTCTGTCGTCGTCTATGATGCTGCAGGGATGAGAGGGACAAGCGGGGCGCCTTTTCCTGTCGAGTTGCCGTGTGAGTCTACTCTATATTGGTCCACCTGGTGTCGATGCCTGTGGTCGGCTGATGCTGCGAGTCAGTCAGTCAGTTGGTGGCTGATGCCTTCTTGGATGCTTTCTGTGCTGCTGGAAGGATGAGAGGGCCAAGAGGTGTCCTCCTCTTCCTCTTTCCATGGTGTGTGCGTATGGAAAGCGGTTTCATGCCATGCGTGTGTGATGGATGATGGTACATGGAATCATTCGGATGGGACGGGTGAGTGAGTGCTGGGAAGGAAGTGCCTCTCTCTGCTTTGCTTTGCATGCGATGCGCAGACAGGGATGTCTGTCGGTGTACTCCATCTCTCTGTCTATCTGCTGCGGCAATATATTCTTGCGATACGCACACCCTGCGCTAGTGTTCTGTTTTGACATTCTCTGACAGGCCTGGCCTAGCCGTCTTCTCGATGACAGACCTGGAGTCCACAAAGGCAGACAAACGAACAGATAGTGTTGTGGAAGGGGTGTGCAAGTGGGCGTTCGTCTTCTCTTCCCACGTGCGTGGACATACAGATTGAAGAAGGCCGTCGTCCAGATCACTTGGCACCTGCAATGGATACAATCCTCCGATCGCACGTCGATCTTCTCCATCTGCAAGCTCCCCTCGCTACCGGAAGAGAATGGCTGCTGCGCAGTCTTTTCAGCAACCTTCCCTTTCTTGTGAGGGCACCGATGTCCCATCGGTGGAGGAAGATCTCAGCCCAGACGAACGCTTCATGCGCGCCGCTCTCGAGGAGGCCAACAAGGCTCTGGAGGCAGGGGAGGTGCCCGTGGGGTGCGTCATCGTCCACCAGCCAACCGGATCCATAGTCGCACGCGCCTACAACGACACCAACCGCTCGCGGAACGCCTCGCGCCACTGCGAGATGGTGGCTGCCGACGAGATCCTCCAAAGGCCACACAGGCAGCACCACCACGTGCACCATGCCCATCATCACCACCACCACGGCCATAGCCACCAGCCCTCGACAAGACCTCTCCCATCCCTCGTCCCTCCGGCTGTGTCGGAGGACCTCTCGCCGCCCGACCAGACGCTGCATCGGGCACGTGCCGTGTTCGGCTCCCTGGCGCTTTACGTGACGGTGGAGCCGTGCATCATGTGTGCGGCGGCTTTGCAGTGCCTGGGGCTGAAGAAGGTCTTCTACGGGTGCGCCAACGAGCGGTTCGGTGGCTGCGGGTCTGTGCCGGGGATGTCGATTCACGAGTGGGTGAGCGAGAGCTGGCCGGGGCTGGGTTGCCAGGGCGGGCTGCTGGGGAATGAGGCGATTGCACTGCTGCAGCGCTTCTATGCGCGTGGGAATCCGAATGCGCCCGACGAGAAGCGGCACCGGCGGCTGCAGCCTGACGCTGTGCCTGCCAACATGCACGATGACGAGCGAGGCGGCGGGGAGCAGACAGCTGATGATGTTTGAGTTTGAGTGGACTGACTGAACGGCGGGGGGCTGCATTGCATGGTGGGTGGGTTCTTTTGGCTCGTCTGTCTCTGTTGTACTGTACATACATACGATTGGCTGGCATGAATGAATGAATGGGTCTGCTGATTGACACGAGACTCACATGCAGCACATGCACACGGACATGGACATGACATGAATGAACACCTACCACACACTTGCAATCAATACACACATGTACTTAAGTGATGTAAGACACTAACTAGTTGGCTAGTCCGCCTGCCTTGACTGGCCAAGCTGCCTGCCTGCCTGCCAGCCACTGACTGTATTGATTGTTTTGTCGTATAAAGGAAGACCCCCACTAAAGACGAAAAGAAAAGAAGGCTTGCAAAAACAAACTTGAGGGGGCACGTACAAACACACACACACACACAAGCGGAAAACTGGCACGCAGGATGACGCATACTGGCAGGGTGTCAGTGAGGCAGGTAGGCTGGCTGGCACATGAACGTCATGCTGTCTTTCTATATCCCATCCCCCCAACCCCAAACCCGTCCTTGTATGGATTATGTGGCCAACAAACTTACGCTTGCGAGCGTCGCAAAGCTCACGGTATCAAGAAGATCAAATTCAGATCCCCCCCCACACACCCACACACACGGAGAGAGAACACATGTAGGTAGGAATGAGTGCGCACACGCCACAGGCCGGTCTTGACAAAACAAATGGGCGCATTGCATTCCGTATATCCTTTCCCGCGAAAACACCGTATGAAAACCATACATATTCCCCTCTCCCACGCCCTTATGATGCGTCTCTGCCGTGGGAATCATCAGCCTGTCTGTCTGTCTGTACAAGACGTGACGTGAGTACACACATACGCCATGACTGGGCCACACGCAGAGATGTTGTCTGTCTCGCCTCGCTCAGCAGGAATCCATCCAGCATAGACACCGCCACAGAGAGAAGACCAAAACCAACACACACGCACTAGACGCGCACCACAACAACAACCAACGGACGAAGCATGCATCAACGTGATCGACTGGCTATTCTTTCTGCCCCCCAAAAGACCCAAAAGGAAAGAAGAAAACACCAAAGCTTGCACTCGCTTACGAGTAAGTGTGTGTGGATGTAGGCAGGGTATGCATCAAAAAGGAGTCGCCATACACACATCCAGAAAGAAAGATCGAAAGAAAGAACAAAAGGCCCGCACGCGTGTTGTTTGTGTGTCACACGGCACTCCCCCTGACCGGCCGGACAGTGCAATAGTAAAAGTAGGTGCACGCCCGTGATACGATCTCGCCCCCATGTTTGCTCTCCTTGCCGCCAGGCCACTTGAGGAACTGCTGCGCCAGCTCATCGGGAGACCAGTGCTGCACGATCTCATACCCATGCTCTGAATGCACACCCACACAACGACACAATTAAGGTGGGCACAATGAATGACATCCTCTCTTCGTTCTCCTGTCTCACCCACCCACCCACCAGCCATCTGTGTCTCCAGTCGCGACGGGTCCAGCCCGAAGGTGACGGGCGTCTGGTTCCTCTCGAGCACCGAGCAGTACTGCACACCATACCGGCGCTCCTCAGCTGTCAAGGGGGTCGACGCACGGCTGGCCACCTCCTCCTTCTTGCTCGCAGCCGTCTTCTTGTCGACGACCATCGCGCCTTCCTCACAGTCGCTCATTCCCTCGTCGAGTGTGGTGGATTCGACGCTCCTGGGGCTGCCGAGGGGGGGCGTGGGGGGATCCACGATGTCGGTGCGGCCGTTGTATGCGTTGATGACCCGCTCGTCAACGTAGTCGAAAGTGAGGGTGCAGTCGTCCGGGCACAGCTCCTTGATGGCGGCGAGGGTCTGCGCGAAGCCTTCCTTGGTGAGGTACATGGAGACGCCTTCAAGGAGGAAGATGGTGCGCTTGCCCGGCTGGTAGTTGGCGGAGAGGAGGACGTCCTGCACGCGCTCGGTGTTGAAGTTACATGTCACGTACTTGACATCCTCATAAGCAGAGGGAGGCACCGCCGCACACTGAATGAAGGAACCAACACAAACCGACCGACATCAGCCGTGGGCCATCCCATCCCATCAGCAGGTTTCCTGTCGACCTACCTACCTTCCTCAATCGCCTCAGTTTGTCCTGCTGCAGGGGCTCCTGGTCGACCTCAAACGTGGCAACTTGATACGCCTGCCTCAGGGGGGCCATCCTGTACGTGCGATTATCGTAGCCTGCATGGCATGGCAACAGACAGAGAGACAGGACAGGACAACAATCGTGGGTGACGGTACGTCGATCTGCCTGTCCGTCTGTCCGTCTGTCTGTCTGTCTGTCGAGCGTGTCTTGTTACCTGCGCCAAGCAAGACCCACTGACATCGCCCCAGGCCGGCACGCTTGATGCCTTCGGTTACTACATGATCAATCAGGTGGGTGCGGCCTGCAGTAGGGAAACGATTGACGGATGCCGGTGCGTGTGTGTCCCTCGTGATATGCCCATGTGCCTACCAATAATGGCGTGGAGGATATATCTGAGAGTGTTGCCTGGGAACGCGTCAACCGCCCGGCATATTGCCACCATCCAGGGGTCGGGGAGGATGGCAAACAACGAGTATACCGTCTGCAATACACATGGCGAAGACACGTGTCTTGGCTTGGTGACCTCTCCCTCACCTTGACGAAGGGGTCCATGAAAGCGAGACACAGCTGTCGGTGCAAGGGATCCATGCCGAGAGGGAGGGAATAGTGCGTCATGAAGGTCCTGTCAGCCACGCACAGACAAGCAAGACATACACAGTGACACATGGTCAAGCACATCATCATGGGTGTGCGTGGGGGCCGTGTTTGCCGCGGCCATTCTCATCTCCAGGACGCACCGCACCTGACAAGATTGATGGTCTCGGCGTTGGATTTCTTCGCTCCCCTGCTGAAAAACACCCACTGTGGCTGCACGCACACACACGCGAGACTCACAGAGAAGGTGAGCGCCTGCCAGACCACCGTCCCCCCCGCTGCGTATACCTTGAACGCGATGACGGCGGCAGGCAGGAGCACCGCCAACACAAAGAAAACCACGATGAAGATCTCCCACCACAGCAGTGCCATCCTTCTCTCCAACCCCACGTGAGAACAATGAGAAGCGCCGTGGAGAGGCTTTGTCACCTCGGGAGCTGGCTCCTTCTCGAGTGATCTTTGCTCAGAGAAGTCCTCTTGGCTCAGCAGGACGTAGAGTTTTTCAGTGCGTCAAACCCTCGTCACGGTCCTTTATCTCCGTACATCTCGACGATCGCCTCCCGGTTTGTTGTTGTTTGTTACCTCGTCGTGGTTAGCAGAGAGGGTGATGTTCTCAGAGGGAAAGCCAGGCAAAGTCCTCCATGTGGAGGTCATCAACCACCTTATATCGAGGGGAGGCCAAACGCAGCTCAGCGCATTCGCCAGCTGCCTCCATGCCCTCCAACAAAGCGCTAAGAAGGCGGCCAAACAGGCGACGACAGCAGGCGCGCGGCGGTCAAGGGCCCCGAGCAGCCGAGCCACAGTCATCAGTACCCCAGCCACACATGGCTCCGTCTTCTCCCAGCGGTCGAGGTCTCTTGCCTTCGCGAGGCCCAGTCAAGACAACGGCAAAAGGTCGTCGACGCAGCCCAGCCAGCGCCTGCCTGCGCTCTTGCTGGACGTGGGGGAGCTCGCGCCCACTTCCTCGATTGAAATTCAGGAGAGACTCAGACTGGGCGACGGAGGAGACGGGGAGAGGGAGAAGCAGCTGGAGGATGGGCAAGAGCAGATGGAAGAAGACAAGAGCCCACTGCAAGCTGAGGGGGAGAGGCCGTCAGAAGCAGCAGAGGCCCCTTTGGAGCCACCGCCGGCTGCAGACGTGCCCTTTCGTTATCGCGTGAAGCTCAAGAGAGGCCCTCCGGGGCGTGAAGAGCCCGTTTTGAGCCAGAGTGGGCGGCGCTTCGCAATGAGAAGGCAGCCTAGACGGAGCGGCTCGTGGAGGGACCGGAGGGAGGATAAAAGGGCGGCGGGGGACGTCCCAGCTGGGCGGTTCAGTTTATCCGAGGTGCTGACGTCGAGCCCTTCGGTGGTCGACGACTTTCGGCGTGTGAAAGACGAACAGGTGGGTTCATGTGCTTCACATGGCCGAGTGGAATGGTGTGGGTCATCACAGCTTTGTTCGTGCGGTGAATGCAGGGCCTGACAGAGCGTCCTCGACTCCGGCTGGGTACCGATTTGTCAGACCTGACGCCTCTGGTGACGCCCAAGTCGCGGCCGGTCGGCCAGCGGTCTTATTACAGGGCTCTCAGCAACCCCTCCCCCTCTGCGCCTGCGACAGTCATGGAGCGGTTTCTCGCCATCACGCCATACTCAGGTGGGGTCGGTCGCGACGAGCGAGCATACTGACACAACCACCCCGCTGTGTGGATGTCGGTTGTTTGTATGCCTTTCATCAGGGTCTCTATGCGACAGTATGATGAGCACCTGGACATCCCTGCGTGACGATCGTCTGCGCAAGTCTGGAGTCAGTGTGAGCACCAGGAGCTCAAAGACCTTCCGCAGCCCGCCGCGTGCCAAGATGATCTCGCAAGAGGTGCACACTACACACATAGCCAGGACGACCAGCCAAGGCCCACGCATCGCATCTGGCCGGCATGGCCGTGCATGTTTCGCCCCTTCCAGACATTCCGACTGTGTGACGAGCCTCCCGAAGATGTATTGGCCCTGATGCCCCCCTCGTCGTCAGCACGCTTCAGCGACACACAAGACGTGTTTTGGCGTGAGATGGAGACGGCCGACACGGGACCGATGTCAATGCGAGAGGGGTCGCCCGGCCTTCTGCCGCCCATCAGCGAGAGGGGCCCCCCGGGCGCTGCGGACGCTGATCGGAGCAACTCGGAGAAGGTCGACAAGTTCCGAGACTTGTCGACTGTCGAGAGACTACAGATGAGGGCGCTGAGGAGCGAGCTGATAGAACTGGCCGATTCCGCAGGTATCCTGCCCGGCACCATGCCGCATTATGACCCCTCTGTCCACAAGGTCCACGAGTGGGCGGCCGGAGTCACAGCCTGCAGCAACGACGGCCCGCCAGACCTCCTGTTTCCCCTCACTGATCTGATCAACTCCGCCCTGGCCACTGCACGGCCGCCCCCATCTGCTCCCCCCAGAAACTATCGGGGCGCGGGATGCGGCACCATGACCAACCCCCCACTCGTACACACACCCACCGACGGACCCCTCGTTGAGCCTCTCCACCTTCACCGCAAGCCGGGAAGTGTAATGCGGTCGCGCGTAAGGATTGCGACAGCAGGGCTTGACCCCATGAGGTGGCGGACAGGTTCATCGAATGCCTCGTATACCCCACCCTGCGGCCGTGCGAGGGCACCGGTTGAACGATGCCGGGGCGCTTTGCAGGCGTTCGTGGGGATGCACGAGAGTCTTATGGGACTGGCGTAGCCTGCTACCAGAGATTGTCGTGATGGATGTGCGTGTGATGTCTTCTTGTGTCTCTCTTCCGTCATATTTGTTCGCTTCTCTTGCGTGACGCTGTCCGTCTGCGTGTGTGTGTGCTCTCTGGGTGCGGTACTGTGCTACGTGAGGGAGACAAGCAGGTTCTATCTGGGGGGACATGATTGCCTTCAGCGGGAAGACACCAAAAGCTTGAATGCACCCACCTTGGTCTGATCTGTTCTGGAGCATTCACTAAATGTTGATCAATTGCCTTTCTCCCTGGCAATCTAATCTCACTCACTGACCAGGCTAGTCAGTCCCCCTCCTCCACCCTCACACTCAGCACTGTTCTGTCCTTAAGCCCCACTCGCACATGGACCATCTTCCCCTCGTCAATCCCAACCTTCACCCGCCCCCGCATGGCCTCGTCCCGCACATTTATCCCCTCGAGCGTCGCCTCTGCAGACTCGTCCCACACCGTCACGCACTGGCCTCCCTCATCCAGGCTCAGCGCTTGATACTCTTGCGCCGCGTCTTCCGTCCCGTCGCCACCGGATCCGCCAGGACGGTCGGCTATTGCTGCGGTGAGATGGTCGTGCCACTGGAGCAGTGTGGTCTTGTGCTTTGTGCCAAACACTGCATGACAGACAGGACAGACCAGACAAACCGAATGAAAGGGAGAACTCTCTCTGTTCCATCTGGTGCTTCCTTGCCCGTCGCACCCACCCACCTGTGAAGGGCATGGCCAGCGCGTCCTTGACCACATCCAGCACGGCTGACACGGAATCCTCATTACCTGCGCCCATCTCGGTCCTCTTGACCCAGGTGACATAGATTCCAATAGTATCGAACAGCCGCTGCTGCGCCTTGGGAGTGAAGCGGTGCTCCTGGTTCTTCATTAGGAAGCGCCGCAGCTTGCCGAGGTCCTTGGAGACCTTGCTGTTGAGCACTGTCGCCTGCTGGGTCAGTGATTGGGCATCGCTGAAGAACTGGTCACATCTCTCGTCCATCTGCACAACACCTGCGGCTCAGACAAGCAGGACGATGAGTCAAAAAACTGGAGGATGCCCGGGACGATCTGGTGGAAGAGAGCAGGGTTTCTTGGGTCCAGGGTTTCTTGGGTTCGGGGATGAGGCGACTCCGCGGTGAGAGATCACACCATCCCGACCGCTGCGACAGCGTTGATCTATAGATGCCCATTTGACTCCCTCTGAGCATGGCTGAGCGTCGGCAGCAACAAAGTCCGGCTCTCGGCTTCCAGCAGCGCATAGTAGACCGACTGAATGAGTCCGATTGCCTCGTCGTGGCCGCCCGTGGCCTGGGTCTCTACTCGGTGGCCATCCACTACCTCCGCTCCTTCGGCTGCGCCCACAAACTCATTTTCCTGCTCAACCTGGCGAGCAAAGAGGAAACCACGGTGTTCCAGCGGCGAGTGGCGCAGGAGGGCGGGATCGGCATGCCCATCTACGCCATCGCCGCCGAGACCGACAAGGGCGAGCGCAGCGACCTCTACGCCAAGGGCGGGTGCTTCCTGGTGTCGTCGCAGATTCTGGTGACGGACCTGCTGATGAACAAGCTGCCGCCCGAGATGATTGACGGGCTGCTGGTGATGCACGCCCACACCCTGACGGACCGCTGGAACGAGGCCTTCATTATTCGCCTCTTCCGCAAGCGCAACAAGCGGGGCTTCATCAAGGGCCTCACCGACCGCCCTGAGATGCTCATGCGAGGCTTTGCAGCCGTCGAGAAGGTCATGAAGGCCCTCGCCGTCACACGCCTGCACCTCTTTCCCCGCATCCAATCTGACGTCAGCCACACCCTGGGCGGCTTGGCTGAGCCTGACACCGAGGAGGTGCAGCTGCCTCTGACGGACAGCGTGCGCTCGATGCAGCATGCCGTGGTCAAGCTGCTGCAGGGCGGCCTGGAGAAGCTCAAGCGCAACAAGGTGGTCGACCTGGAGGGCATCGCCACGGTGGGTGACTGCCTGTTCAAGGCGTTTGAGGTGCAGCTGCGGGACAAGTGCGATCCCGTGTGGAACAAGCTGGGGCCGGAGGTGGAGTCGCTCATCAAGGCCATCGGGGAGGTCAGGAAGATGCTCCACTACATGCTCAGATACGACGCCGTCACGTTCTTCATGTACGTCGAGAGCCTTCACGACTCAAGCAAGGTGGGTGAGGTGGGTGGAGCAATGTGGGTGAGGGAGGTGACAGACAGACGAGAGGGAGGGAGAGATGGGGAGAGCGGCCTGACCTTCTTGTACGTTTGTGTGTGCATCCGTCCGCCAGTCCAGCAGCAGTGGGTGGATGGGGACGACCGAGGCGGACCTCATCTTCAAACTCGCCAAAGAAAGGCACGGGCGACCACACACACGAAAACACACACGAAAACACAAAACCCCATCCATTCTCTCCGTCTTCCGTGTCCCTTATCAATCAATCAGAGTGTACCAGGTCGTCCGCACCAAAGCCCCATCACCAACCCACTCTCCCTCTCCCTCCCCCACCCCCAGCCCACCAGACAACAACAGTGGCCCCAGCCGCCCCGACCCACAACAGCAGCAGCAGCAGCAGCAGGCCGGGCAGCCCAAGCCCCCGCCGCCGCCCAAGAGGACGTCATCCCTGCACCTGGTGCTCGAGGTGACCCCTAAGTGGGAGTCGCTTCTGAAGCTGCTCACCCAGACGCCCCCAGCCGGCAGCGTCGTCGCAAAGCTCAAGAGAATCCAACAGAGGGAGAAGGAGGAAGGAGAAGAGGCAGAGAGCGGTGGCGAGGGAGCGTCGTCGGCGGCTGCGGCTGTGGGTGAGAAGAGGCCGGCTGCTGCGGCTGGTGGTGGTGCTGCTGTGGGTGAGGCCGGGCGGCTGAGTGAGGAGCGCAAGAAGAGGCGGCGTGTGGACGGAGAGGGAGGAGTGTCGGCTGGGGTGGCTGTGGATAGCGACGGTGATGACGTGATAGAGATGGACGGCGGGGAGGATGGGGCGGACGACAGGCCGACGTATCGCATATTGGTGGCCGTCAACGAAGAGGTCACCCGTAGGCAGCTCATGCAGGTCAGGCAGTGCAGTGCAGTGCAGTGCAGGAGGCCGTGGCGTGGCATTCTCTCATGTGCCTCCCTCTTCATCGATATATCCGACCGATTGGTCGTCAGGTGTTGACTGAGGGCGCTGTGCCCACGCTGCAGGGGTCACTACTCCACTACCTCACCAGCCACAACCAGAAGAAACGACAACAGGCCGCTAAGGACAAGTAGGTGCACCCGCACCCAACACCTACCGATATGTTACCGATATGTGTGGTGTGGTGTGGTGTGGTGTGGGTGATGGTGTGATGGTCTTCAGGCAGCGAAAGGGTTTTGCCAAGGGCGGTGGCGGCCCTGCAGCAGCATCAGCCGCGGCTGCAGGGGCTGCTGGGGGTGCTGGGGGTGGTGGTCGTCGTGGTGCTCCCCAAATGTCAGCTGCCCAGCGGATGGAGCTGGAGCTGCTCACGGAGCAGGTGGCCATACTCAGGAACGTCGTGCCCAAGTAAAGAACAAAGACAGACAGACAGACGACAGCAAGTTAGTTTTCTTCCTGCCCGTGTGTCGTGTCTGTCCTTTGTGTGTGGTCCCCACCCCTTCCTTCCAGCCGTGATGTGGGTGAGGATGAGATGAACGAGGTGCTGGCGGTGCTCGCCCGGCAGAACAACATGCCTGTCACGCCACACGTGTCCATCGTAACCACCAGTAGATACGACGGTGAGTGAGGTGAGCCGGGCAGCCAGCCAGCCAGCCTCCTCCTCCACCCCCACCCCCACCCTCACACACAGACACACAGGCGACCTTCGGCCTTTCCCCCCTGTGCGCATCTGCCTGTGTCTGTTTCTCATACCAGGTCTGTACGAGTTGTCCCTTCGCGCCTTCCGCCCCCACTGTGTGGTCATCTACGAGGCCGACATCCCCCTCATCCGGGCCAGCGAGCTCTACTGCGCCGAGCTTTACCACGCACACGAGCGGAACAAGGCTGAGAGGCGGCAGCGGAGGATGGCCGCTGCCGTCAAGCAGGAAGGGCGCCCCGACCGGACGGAGGATGGTGACGGTGATGACGTCATGGATGTGGAGAAGGGAGAGGGGGAGGCGAGTAGTGCTGCTGCTGGTGGTGGTGGTGGGGAGGACGATGCAATCATCGTGGGCAAGGACCTGAAGGTCGGTCGGTGGGGGTGAGGGAGAGTGTAGGGGCGAGGGCGAGGGTGGGGGGAGGGAGGAATGGGGGTCTCTCTCTCTCGCTCGCTCTCTTCGTGTCTGTGGGGTGGGGTGGCCTGCAGGTGTACATGCTGTGGTACGACCAGAATTCAGTCGACCAGTACAAGTTCAAGAACGCTCTCCAGGTACTAACTAGGCAACATCCCCCGCCCCACCGGCATCCATCCATTTTTTTTCTCTCTCCACAGAAGGAGAAGCAGGCGTGGGAGTCGCTGATGCGTCAGAAGGAGCACCTGATCGTGCCGGTCGACGAGCTCACCACAGCCGACGACAGGCTGCTGTTCGAGCTGGCGGCCGAGGGCAACACGCGCCAGGGCGGCGGGGGGGCTGCCAGGGCCGCCGAGCTCGCCAAGCAGATCCGTCCTGTCGTCGTGGTCGACATGCGCGAGTTCCGCTCCTCGCTGCCGTATGAGCTGTTTGTCAAGGGGCTGAGCGTCTACCCCATCACACTCACTGTCGGCGATTATGTGCTCTCCAAGTGAGTCGGCCAATAGGTGCATGGATGGATGGATGGATGGACAAGTGTCGTGTCGTGTTGTGTTGTGTCAGGCACATGTGTGTGGAGCGGAAGGCTCTTCCTGACCTGATCAGCTCCATCAACTCGGGGAGGCTATACCACCAGGTGAATATCTGCACACTGGAATGGAGCGCCCAAAGGCCGCCAGCGAGCCCGTGTGTTGCGCTGTGCTGTCGGTGCATTGGATGCATTCGCTCAGGCCGAGCAGATGCGTCGCTACTACAGCCACCCGACGCTGCTGATAGAGTTCGACGAGCGGCGGGGCTTCGCTCTCAGGAACCAACAGATCGGAAGAACCATCGAGGAACAAAAAATCATCGAAAAGTCGGCAAGACACACAAACACGTCAGAGACAGACAGAGAGAGAGAAATCACCGTGCCTTCTGCCTGTCTGTCTGCCTGCCTGTTTGTCCGTCTGCCTGATATCGCCAGGTTGATCCTGTTGACGCTGCACTTCCCGACACTGCGCCTCATCTGGTCGCCCCACTGCCACTTCACCGCCAACCTGTTCATCAAACTCAAGGTCAGTCGCCCAACCACCCCACCCCATGCAGACGTCACACCTTGATCGATCTCTGTCTTGTCAGGCCAACCGCGAGCAGCCTGACTTCCAGGTCGCATCCAGGGTCGGCAATGAGGAAGACGACACACCCTCTCCCGCAGAGCCCCATAGCAACCACAACAATGGCACCGACGTCGATATGGACGGCAAGAAGCAGCCAGGAGAGGCAGAGGCGGAGGCGGAGGACGGCCCCGTAGACAACGACTGGACGGCGGCGGCAGCAGCAACAGCAGCAGCAGCTGCTTCAGACGGGCCCCAGGCGAGTGGCGCGGTGAATGGCAGTGGTGGTGGTGGTGCTCCTGCCGGTGGTGGTTCGGCGAGGAAGAATCGTTCGCCTGACAGCGCCGACAACACCGTAGCTGTGGATCTGCTACGCAAGATGCCGGGCGTGACGGGCCACAACCAACGGAGGCTCGTCAACGCGGTAGGTACGACTGCCAGCAGTGGAGTGGAGTGAGGGCATGGTTATCCCTCCCTCGCTATGTGTGTGTATGTGTGTCGGTCGGGGTGGTGCAGGTGTCATGTCTGGCGGATTTGGCAAAGATGGGTCTGGACGAGCTGACCCAGCTGATCGGCAGCAAGAACGCAAAGGAGCTCTACAACTTTATCCATGACGCCGTCACCGTACGCGACGCCGAACCAGGAGCTTAGCTACCTAGCGGCCCGGCCAGCAGACTCCCTCTCTCTCTTGTAGGTACGATACACACACACCTGCAGCAGTGAACGGACCGACAGACCGCTTCTCGGTATCCATGAGTGAGTGATATAGGGATGAATTCAAGTGTCATTCGCACTCTACGTGTCCACTGTCCATGCGACGAGGGAAGGATCATCACGCCGTGCACCACCACCCCATACACACTCACACACAAGCCTCCCACTCAATTACGTCCCCCGACCGCCCAACCCCCCGCCCGCCCTTTGAGCAGAGCAGCCTGCCCGGCCACCCCAAAATCTATGTGGACGCCTTCCTGTCCCCCTCTCTCTTTCTCTCTCCCTCCCTGCCTACGAGGCACTCGGCAGTGGGTTGTTCTTGAGTTGGATGAAAGTCTGCTTCATCCGTGAGGTGTCCCGCTGCGACTCTTTGTTGAGGTCGACCATGGTGCAGACCCGCTCCCAGGCGTTGTCTCGCGTGAGGTCAGTCTCCCTGGCGGCCATGGCCTCCTTCTCCTCGAGCTGGTTCTGCTCCTTGCGCTTGGCGACGCTCAGCTTGTACTCCTCGTACCACTTCTTGATGTCCTCCTGCGCCTTGGCTCGCGCCTGCTTCTTGGCCTCATCCTCCTGGAGGGAAGGGAGGGCATCACACACACACACACACGTATATGTACAACACACACAGACACACACGTGTTCATCCTTTGTGTGTCATGACTTTCGCTTGCACCCTCCCTCCCTCCCTCTCTCCCTCCCTCCCTCTCTCCCTCACCTGTCGGTTCTTGTCGTCGAGCTCGGCGTTGTGCTTCTCCTCCCACTCGGTGAGCGGGTTGACCTCAGGAATGTACGCCGGGCCCCCTCCCATGCCGCCGCCCTCTATCACACCATCCGACGCACCACCACCAGCAGCACCACCGGCACCGCCTCCGCCCATGTCGAGGGGCACGGCTGCCGGCGCAGGCGGCGCATACCCGTTATCGGCGGGCATGTCGAATGCCCTCATGCCGCCGGTGGTGGCTGCGGCCGAGTCGGCGGGCGGCTGGGCGGGCGGGGCTGTCGACGCGGCGAAGTCGAAGGTGTCGTACTGAGAGGGGCTGCCGAAGTCGCCCTGCATCTGTGAACTGTCGCCAAAGCCATTTTCGGACTTCAGAAAGTCCTCGCTCGGATCCATGACGTGCTACGGACCTCCTGGCCTCAGATCTCCTTTCCTGCGAGCTTAGAATTGGCGAGCTTTCTTCAAACGTGGAGAGGGTACAGAGGATGGCGATGGCAATGGCAATGGCTATGGCTAGGGATGAGCAGCAGACCAGCTGAGAAAACAGAATTCTGCAGGTGGCGCAACACACAACAACCACGCCGTGCACAGGACTCACTCATCTGCACACTCAGCTGGACGCTCTATACCGTCAGGTCAGGTGTTGCCTGCCGATGGCTCTCAACGTGCAAGAATGTCAGAAGAACGCGGTGACCAAGATGCTGCTGCTGCAGGTGGCTCCGTCGGGCGGCATGGAGGACCCCTTGCGAGGCGGCGGGGGCGGCATGAGTGGCTGGGGAGGGCCCTCGACAGAAGGCGTCACCTGGAAGATCGTCATCTACGACCGATTCTGCCAGGACGTCCTCGCGCCACTGATGAAGGTCAGTGAGTGGAGTGGGCATCAATCACACTCCCTGACTGACACCACTGTGATTGTGATGTGTGTCAGGTTGGCGGCCTCCGTCGGCACGGCGTGACGCTGCATCTGCCGCTGCACAGCGAGAGGAGTGCTGTGCCTGAGGTGCCGTCGGTGTACTTCGTGGAGCCCACCCCCCAGAACATCCAAAGGATCATCGCAGACTGCCAGCGGAACCTCTACGAGAGGTACCACCTCAACTTCAGCTCATCCATCCCCCGACCGCTCCTCGAAACACTCGCACAGGGCGTCCTCCAGGCCGTGAGCAAGCGACGGACGAATAGACAGACAGACAGACAGACAGCCAGGACAGAGGATGAGGTGTCTGTGGTGTGGTGTGGTGGCCTGTGGTGTGGTGGTCAGAATTCGGTTCATCAGATCACTCGTGTGGTAGACCGGTTCTTGAGTTTCGTGTCGCTGTCGCCGAGCCAGTTCTCGCTCAACCTAACCAATGCATACCGCACGCTCCACGACGCCACCATACAGGACCACGAGGTTAGGGAGGGAGACTGACTGGGTAGAAAAGAGAGAGGGCGAGAGAGAAAGGCGCGCGCGTAGCTGCGAGTGAGTGCTTGTGTGGTCACACTTTGTCTGTGCGTGTGTGTAGATCGAGGCGTTTATTGACCGTGTAGTCGAGGGCCTCTTCTCCGTCTTGGCCACACTCGGTTGGTGGCCGGGAGGGAGGGGACGACAAGACAACACAAGATGGGCCCGGCCCGTACACATGTGCGTGTGTGTGTTGCCTCACATCACTCACTCATTCAGGTGTGGTTCCGGTGATAAGGTGTCCACCGAACGATGCGGCAGAAATGGTCGCCAGGAAACTCGAGGTGAGCCCGGCTGTGAGTGTGTGGTCATTGAAACCCTTCGTGTGTTCTGCGTTTGCGCGTGTGTCAGGCTCGTCTGCGCGAGTTTCTGTCTCAGCGCGGCTCGAGTGCGTCGTCGATTTTCGCCAGCAGCAGCGCCAGCCTGCAGAGGCCCGTGCTCATCATCCTGGTCAGTCAGTCCCACACCGACACACACGCGGGGGGAGGGACCGTATGTGCGTGTGCGGGTCGGTATACCTGGGTCTGTCTGTCTGTCTGCTGTCTGTGTGTCTGCAGGATCGTGACATCGATCTGTCAGTGATGATTCAGCACACCTGGACCTACCAGGCACTCATACACGACGTCTTCGAGTTCAAGTCAGACCAATCCCTAAACACACACACGCACACACACACACACACACGTTTCCACTTCCATACCATACGCGCGTGTCGGCGTGTGTGAATGTGTGTATGTGTGTGGTCAGGTTGAACCGTGTGACGGTTCCTGTGTATGAGGGCGGGGCCTCTGAGGGCGACGGGCCGCCCAAGCAGAAGACATACGACCTCGACAGCTCGGATGCCTTCTGGAGCCAATATGCTGGCGTGGCATTCCCAGCAGTGGCCACGGTCAGTACCCTCACTCACTCACTCACCCAAGCACGGCTCTACCGCACCGCATTCGCCCCTTTTGGTCTTGTGCTCTCATGTCTGTCGTGGCTGCAGGCGATTCACGAGGCATTGAACGAGTACAATCGCAGGATGCAGGAGATCCAGAGCGGCCAGGCGTCCTCGGCGTCATCAGCCATGCCGAATGGAAACCCAGGTATGGTATACACACACCGCACCATACACCACACACCACAGAATCGGGTACGTGTGTGGGTGGGGGCGGGTGGCTGTGGTCTGCCTCTCAGAGCTGCCGATGGAGGAGGACCTGACGGCAGGGCTGGCGTCGGCCATCAATGCGCTGCCCGAGATGACCGAGAAGAAACGGAGCGTCGACATGCACACCAACCTCGCCACTGCACTCGTCAACGAAATCAAGGTGGGTGGGTAGGTGCCTCAACTGACTCGCACATCCAATCCAACACACTCGCCCACCCAGACAGACCCTGTGTGTCCGTCCCTCTGTCCCTCTGTGTGTGTGTGGATTAGGCTCGTGAGCTGGACAAGTATTACGAGTTTGAGGACGAGGTGCCCGGTGGCTCGCTGACCTCGCTGGTCTCACAAATGGAGGCCTTCATCAAACACAGCACACGAGGTAATTGAACTGATGGATACACGTGGGATGAATGGGATGGCTGGATGGAGACGGGTGGGGCATCATCATCTGTGTGTTGGTTGGATTGGATCAGGCACCTTGGTCGACAAGACACGAGCCCTCCTGGTGCTCTACCTCCTCAGACGTAGGCAGGGCAGGCACCACACCGTCAACCCAATCCAATCCACACACCACACCGCACTCACATTCCCTCCTGCCTGCCTCTTTGTCTGTCTGGTGGTTGTCACCGATCAGAGAACATCCCCAAGCAGCAGCTGTCCGCCCTCAGCGACGCCCTCACGGCAGCCGGGGCATCCACAGCGGCACTCGACTACCTCCAAAACCTTGCCGTAGGCCAGCCCAGCCAAGCCACCAAATAGACAAACAACAACCCCCCTCTCGCCCTCCATCCATCCATCCATCCATCTGTGTGCTTCTCTACCCCCCCGTCAGTCAATCAAGAGCATGCAGATGGAGGTCAAGACGCTGCCAGGCCAGACGGCCGGCACCAGCCTCGGAGGCGCCGCAGCCAAGACGGCCGTCTCGGCGCTCGGCGGACTGGCCGCCAAGGTCACTGATCACGGAAGGGGGCTGCTCAAAGGTACGAGCCATGACCAGTAGAGTGAGGGAGAGGGTGTGTGGAGGTGTGTGTCGGGTGGGGGCGGGGTGCAGGTGTGAAGGCGTTTCTGCCACAGAAGAAGGATCTGCCGATCACGCGCATCGTGGAGGCCATCCTCGAGCAGAAGCCCTCGTCGCCGACGGACCACTACCTCTACCTTGACCCAAAGGTCACAACACAACACAACACCTCCCTTACACATAGCAGTCCTGACTCATAGATTGATGTGTCTTGTGTGTGCAGGCCATGCAGGTCGGCGGCGAGGCGCCGAGGATGCGCACCCCATTCAAACAAGGTGGGTGGGTCGGCAGGCAGCTGACGGAGGAAGGAACACATACGTGTGGGTGTCCATCCATCCATCAGCCTTGGTGTTTGTCGTTGGCGGCGGCAACTTTGTCGAGGCCCACGCACTCCAAGAGCTCGTACTCAAATCGCAAAAGCAGGTGGGCCTACACACACACATGCACTGAGTGAGGCTGCCTAGAGCCAGGTGGGCAGGCAGTGCAGCCCAGCCAGACACCGACCCCAGAGCACAATTCCTCGGCACGGCTGACTTCTGCCGCCGGCCGGGGCCAGACACTTTGGGAGAGAGACGGCCGGCAGCACCACACTGACACGGTGGGTGTCTTACCCACCTGTGTGACTGCCCGCGGTCGGCTCCTTAAGGCCATCTCCCAGAGCTTTGCTTCGCTTTGCTTTGCTTTGCTCGTGCCGGTCTGCCGCCGTCAGAAAGGGAGATGATCGAGTCATGGCCGACCCACACCACACGTCCACAGACGGACAGACAGACAGACAGACTCTGCATCTGTAGACAGCCGTGTGCATCCAACGTGTATCTATCTGCAAGTCTGCTGCTCATGTGTGTGTGTCAAGTTGTGTGTGTGTGTGTGTATGTGTGTGTGTCAGGTTGTGTACGGTTGCACGGACTTCGTGGCGCCGTGTCAGTTCGTGACGGAGCTGAGCGACCTCGGCAGCGGCAGGCAAGGCGCATCACCACCGGCAGACCTGCTGTGATGGGATGGATCGCGAGTGAGCGAGGTGGAGGTCTGTGGCTGTGAGTGAGTCTACGGAATTGGAGAGATTGAATGAGGGGCCGGGTGGCATGCGTCTATCTAGAGTAGATTTGTCGATTGGACATTGAATTAACCAAGGACACAGGCATGGCCATGCATGGACAGTCACCATCGCACTGTCACGCTTATCGCATAGGATAGACCGACTTGCTGACAGCAATGAACGAGACGAGACCGAGGAACAAACACACGCGCACACACATGGAGAACACAAAGCAAAGTCATGAAGGAACTCATGAAGTAAGACAAAGAGCCTATTGTGAGAACAGGTCAGCTTAGACCAGGTCAGACCACACGACACCACACGACAGCCAAAATCTGACTCATGGATGGATGGATGGATTGCCTGTCTGTCCTACTGACGACAGACGCGAATACAAAGCAGATGAATACCCGCTAAGAGCACGGCTACACCAATAAACGCTCCCCCTATTATCATGAGAGTCACTCCGGTTTTGGCCCATTCCTTGGCTTCGGCCGCAGGGTCGAATATCTTGTAGCACTCCGGCTTGTTGCCGCATTGGTACACCGAGCTGACCTCCTTCCTTGCCCTCCAGCAGTCCACTGTCTGGCCTACGGCATACGTTTGAAGGTCCAAAAACCCCACTGGGCATGGGCCGGGCCGGGACTGCTTCTCAATCCGCGAGGTGTATATTCTCGTCCCGTTGCCGACGGTGAAGAAGTACTTGTACTCCTCTTCGCAGCGGTCACGCTCCTCGGATCCCGTGATTTGGTACTGCTTGGCACCGATGTCGTCGATGGTGCACACCCGGCCGAGAGCTTCGAAATCAGCAGCTGGGTTGAGTGAGTCCGCCTTGATCTTCTTGATTGCGCCAGTAGACAGCAACGCCAGGCCAGCGACGAGCCAAACGACGGTGAAGATGGCGGTCACGATGCGGCACCCCTGTCTTCCGGAGCAACAGCAGCAAGGAGCAACAGCCAGGAGGAACATCATGCTGATTGGCAGCAGAGGAAGGCAGATCTTGGTCACGAAAGCAGAGTGAAGGTAGATCTCGGTCACAAGGAGGCGATTGTGCCTTTCCTTTCTCCTTCGCCGCGCTCGTGTGAACGCTCACATTGTGACGGTTTCACCAGCGCGATTCCCTAAATCCATTGCGAGCTTGTACTTCATTCCTCCCTCCCAATGATCTCGTTGCATTTGACCTATGCGCCGATTCGTGCCCTTGTCCTTATTCATGCGTTCATCGCCTGCATCTCATCGCATGTGCCCAGTTTTCGACGACGCCATGGGCAGCATTCGGCGAATCTGAAGGCCGACGCAGCAGCATTCTCTCCGCTTGCATATCCATGGCGAGCGGCATTGCGGAACGCTGCAGGCAGGACAGCATTGAATGGGATGGGGACGCTGCCGGAGACTCAGAACCTGGAGAGGTGACGCGATGAATGAATGCACCAGATCTACGCGTCTGCGGTGACTGTGCCTCCGTGTGCGGCTTTGTTGATTCATTCTTTCGTGCAGGTACATTCAGCACGCCGTTGTCAATGTGCCCAAGATGGATGACGCACTCAACTTCTACACACGGGGGCTCGGTATGAGGGTGAGTGACCGCCCTCACACACATGGGCTCCACACGCGTGTGTGTGTCCATTCCTCGCGGTTGGTTCACTCATCCATCGCTCATTCAGGTGATCCGAACGCGCACAAACCCCGCCAAGACCAATAACGTCACCTTTGTCGGCTACGGCCCAGAGACCCTCGACCTCAAACGCGTCGAAAACGGCTTCAGGCCAGGGTACGCTACGCTACACCAGCCATGATGCCACCCACACATGCACTGCTGCTGCCCCACCCCACTCTCCCAGTATCAGCAGCTACAACGAATACGGTGCGCACTTCACGCTGGAGCTGATCGAGAAGAGGGTGCCGCCTGAGCTCAAGAGCGACGATGAGGACGCGCAGCCCGTGGTGCAGGCCTACGAGCCGGGCAACGGCGTGCAGTTCCTGCAGATCGCACTGCCATTCCTCAGGGTGTCCCAGCTCGCCGAGACCGGCGGGAACATCAGGAGGTGAAGAAGGAGTGCATCCCTCATTCAGGCACACATGGATGGAGGTGCATGGCATCTTTGTGTGTGTGTGTTTGTTTGTTTGTTTGTTTCATGCAGGGCTTATGGGTGGATTGAGGTCGATGCGCCAGGAGGACTGCCGCTCAGGGTGGGTGGCAGTGCAGTGCAGGTGTATCGAAACGAGTGACGCAGCCATGCGTTCGTCTGGGCGTGGAGTTTGTTGTCCGTTTCCAGATAATCATCGGGGAGCGCCGTGATCCCTTCATGTTCGCATGCTTCACCGTCAAGGACCTCAGCGCAGCCAAGAGCTTCTACGAGGTCGGCCCCCATTGCATTGCACCGCCTGTCTGGTGGATGGGATGATGCATTCATCAATCGTTCCTCCCATCAATCAGACTCGGCTTGGGATGCGCGAGCTGCCCTACCAGAAGGCCCGCTACAACCCCGACTCGCCCCTCGAGCCAAAGCAGCCGCAAGAGAGCGCTTACATGGGCTACTCGGAAGACACATTCGGACTGCTCTTGGTGCAGCAGGACAAGAAAATCGCCAAGAAGACGCCAATCGAGGTCGGCAGCGTCTTCGACAAGCTCGCCATTCTCTCGCGGTGGGCCAGGCAGACGCGCTTGCCGGCCTTGTGCAGAAAAGTGTGTGTGTGTGTGTGTGTGTGTGAGCAGGAATGTGGTAGAGGAGGGTCCGTCGCTGAATGCGGGCTTCACCGGCCCGGTGCCCGGAATCGGCACCAACGTTGCCGGTGAGCTGAGCGGCGCTGTGTGTTTGTGTGTGCATTGGTCATTCATTGCCGTCATCCGTGTGGTTGGATGTGCGTGTGTCTGTGCGTTGTGTGCGCGTGTGTGTGTGTGCGCAGCGTTCAAGGACGCACAGGGGTACGGCCTGGTGCTGGTGGAGTATGACGACTTCGAGAAGGAGCTTTCCGACAGGGGCTACCTGTACCTGCCACCGTCCTTCTCTACCCCAGCTGACGACCTCGTGTAGGTAGATGGCTGATGCCCCCCGCTCCAGTGTGTTTGTCTGTGTGTGTGTTGTCTGACAATGAAGCTCCGTGTGTATGGCGTGCATGCGATAGATGGACGAGTCGAGTCATGTTAGATAAGACCTCGGGGTGCGTGTTTATGAGTAGATATGGAGCGGGAGGTGTGCGAAGGAAGGCTTGGTTTAGTCGATAGGTCTCGACCCGTACGTGCGTGAGTCAGGCAGACAGACGTCTCAACGCAATGCATTCATTGAGTCAATCCCATCCATGTGTGCGTGTGCACAACACACTCATCTCATCCTTCCGTGCCATCGATCAGCCAGTCAGCTTGCCATGCCAACCGACAACCTATACATGTCATACCATACACCCCCCCCTCAAGGCCACACGCATTCCATTCGCACACACCCCCTCCACACCCATCCATTCCTTCCTTCCTTCCTCCATACACACACATGTATAGATAGCTATTCTACAAACTCGCCCGCTCGTCACATCGTCACAGCAGAGTGCACCGGAAGAAGGCCTGGTGAGGCGGTCTCTTGGCAGCCGGAGCACCCCCTCCCCTCGATGTGTGGGGCCGCCTCGGTGCGGGCTGGAACCCGGGCGGCATCCCGGGAAACGACCGCAGCGGTAATCGACAGAAACTCTCCTGGGCGAATTCTAACAGATAGTCCGCCTACAAACAAGAATCGGACTCGTTCAATGAAACCGACAGCCGTAGGATCTGTCGCGTGTCGGTCGTTTCTTTACTTGTCGTTGGGATGGCGTCTGATCGTATGTGATCAGTCTGCCCGCGGCACTGAGGGCCCCAATGGTGGGCTGATCGGCGTGGTGGGCGAGCGTCGCCACGAGGGCCGAATCGTTAAGGGTGTCAGGTGAGGTGGGAACCTGAACAGGTGAAGGGCGAAGGAAACGATTTGACAGGGACGCCACAAGCTCCGTCTTTGTGACCTTTGTGACAATAATGACGACGTTGGCGTTGGTGGCGTGCCAGCATGCCTGCAGCACGTCGTTGTACAGCCCATTTCGGTCCGTCAGCAGCAGCTGAAGGACGACACAACGACCAACAGTGCATCCATCCCATCACTGACTGAATGGGGCGCCTGAAGAGTCTCTCTCTCTCTGTTCACTCCCTCACCCGTCCCTCGTTTCGGTGCACGATGACCACCATATCCACAGCAGTTTTTCTCTCGGCCAAAAGGAACCCCCGAAGCTGCGCCTTCATGAGCACAACCTCATCCACAACCCACCCCCCTTGTGTCGGCACTGCCCTCCTCCACCAAGAGGCCATCTCGCTCACAGTCGCCTCCTTCAGCCCATAAACGATAATTCGCAGCGGCCGCGTCTTCCTCTCCACACAATCCACCGACAACCGGTAGCCATACGTGACAGGCGCGGGCACGTAGGAGCGGCTCCTGTCATCGGCCGACTCAGATTGATGGGACTCTGAGTCTGGCCTGTGGTCGATTCGTCCAAGTGTCTTCAGACAGCCAAGACAGTAAAGCCTCCCTCTGTCCTGTCCGCAGTGGGTAACGCGCTGCAGGAACACCGACGTGTGCCTGCCTTCCGTCTCATTGTTGACAATCCTTCCGATGAGAACACCACAGTCGTAGCAGACGAGCGGGGCTTCTGACGGGTTGCTGTCCATCAGTGAGGCTGGAATGCGTCCCAGGGCTGACAAGTCGGCCGAGGCAGCGGCTCCCGGCGAGGTGACGGTCGCATTTAACAGAGGCCGATGAGGCGTTTCACCGGATCTCATCGCAGATGCAGGCATGCTGAGGAGAAGGAGCTGCAGCGCAGGAAATCCAAGGCATAGAATGATCCCGGAAGTTCTAGGGTCTGGGGTTCAGGGTTCTGGGTTTGCGACTTACCAAACTCAAGCCGGCTTAGCTCTGTGGTGTGTGTGTGTGTGGTGAGTGAGTGAGTGAGTGAGTGAGTGAGTGAGTGAGTGAGTGAGTGAGTGAGTGACTTGTGTGCCTGCTGCGTGTTGATGCGTGTATGTGTATGGATAAAGAATGAGATGAGTCGCTGCCTGCGTGTGTGTCTCTGAGTGTGCGGCTGTGTTTGGCATAGCGAGAGGTAGACAGGGTCACAAGGCCAAAGACTCACTGAGGACACGCACGACAATGAATCTGTTGGCAGCAAGAACGGAAAACACCCACCAAACTGTCGGCAAAAGGTGCAGACATGCGTTCCGGGTATGCCGCGTGTCTCGCTGAGTTGCTCCTTCTTTGAGCTCCGCTTACCCGAACACCGGCCGAAAGAAGGTCATAAGTGTACTTGTCTGAAAAGCCTTAGAGGTCGCTCCGTTTTATGTCTCGAAGAAACGCATTAATTGCCGTTGCTCCGTCACTGCGGGTCAGTCATGAAGGGTCAGCCCTCAACCCACACGAAGAGGCAGGTGGCCCGGATGATTCGTGTCTCATGGTTGCTACAATTGATATTAATGTGCCTCTTGAGTGTCATCCGTCTTCTGCTTCTTCTTCTTTTGCCTCTTCGCTTCTTTTGCTTCCTCCTCTTGTGCCTCTTCGCTTCTTTGCCTCTCCCCGTTCTCCTGCAGGAGCTCCGGGGCAAACTCTTCCACCAGGCTGTAGGCATGTGTGTCGTTCAGCTGCCGCACACCATCATTGACGCGTAGGCATCGCTGCGCATCGTCAGGGAGGCTGAATTTGAGCAGGTTGAGGGACGGCTTTCTCCCCATCTCTTTCCGGAGCACCTCTTTGTCTCCGCTCTTCACGAGCACCAGACCGGCTGACTGAATGAGACACATGATCTGTTTGGTGACACACACACCAGGAGAGAGACACACACCTGTACCATCAATCAAGGCAGCTGAGCGCGTACTGAGTCCATGTAATGACCTGGTGGGCCGTGCTGCCTGGGGGGTAGCTGCGGTCGATGGTCACTGATGGGGCCAGATGGGGCAGCAGAAGATCGGCTTGGGGGTTTTGCGGGCCGTCAGCAATCCTCTCTTGCTTCGCCACGCACTCACGAGTCATCTTTTCGAGTTCCGGCCAAGCCTTGAGGACGACGAACACTGTGCGCAGCCAGCCCGTCATCTCCTTCTTGAAGCCGCTCTCCTGCTCTACGCTTGTGACCGTTCTGCGGCGGAGGTGCTCGACTGCCACTGGCTCGAGTGTGGCGGCGCCATCATTAATGTCGATGTCGAGGACCTTCTGGTTCTGGTCGAACGCGCCCCTCTTCTTCTTCTTCTCGTGCATCCAGGCGCTCCTGCGGATGCTCTTGACGAGATTGACGACGAGATTGAATTCGGCGGTTGGAAGAATGTCCGCCTTCCTGTCAAAAAGAGAGATGGTCATCTTCTTGCAGCTTCCTTTTTTGTCTTGGTCCGCCGGAGGGGCATGCTGGAAGCCAAAGGATTGATAGTAGAAGCCTGACATGCACATGCCGACGAATTGAACATATCGATGTGCATGTCAGAACCTGTGCATCTTCTGCGCGTACCTGCTTTTGAGAGCACATACATCTCCTTGATGCTGCTTGCGTCATAGATTGTCACCTCTGTGCAGCCGTAGGCAGGCGAAAAGTGGTCAATCCATGATAACATTCCGACGATAAGGGTGTTGCCACTCAGCTTGTCGGCCTTCTTCAGACTGGACAGAGACACAATAATACATAAAAGGGCTGACAGCTTGTGTTCTCGGTCATGCACATACCTCCCCAAGTAGCATTCGTGCGGATAGATATACAAAACGCATTCACCATCTGTCACGTCCAGCCCCTCCACCTGAGGGAGACGTCTTATGATGGATCTAGTCGGTCGCTTCGGAATACATACCTCCTGCAGTGACACCTCAAGAGGGGAATCCTCCTCTGGGAGGAGACGCATTGCCAAGACTACACCGAGCGTGTCTTTGCCCCTGAGGTTTGCCTGCATGCGCTGCCTGAACGCCTCAGGGACCTTCACAGAACAACTGCAATCGATGCAATGCCATTCATTGCAGCGGCCAAGACAAGCAAGGGATACCGTCTATATCTGTTCTTATCCACCTGATGTCGATTGGCTCCTCAGCGAGGTTCTCGGGCGGTTGTGAGCAGCTCACCAGATCCCCCACCGCGACACGAGACGAGGAGACTTGTTGACACAGCTGACAGAGGATCAGGGCGATGCAGAGCGACCAGGTATAGAGAGCCATCGGGAGCCGAATCATCCGATTAGCGGGATGGAAGCAGGGATGGGGACTTCACGGCTGCTCGTCTCTCACGAAACGGGGAATGGAGGGGCGAGGGGGCGTATCTTGGCCGCCGGTGCCCTGAAACCCTAACTGTGTGTGTGTGTGAGTGACTTGTGCGCCCATCCGCGCGACACACAGGTCCTTCGATCCTTGACACTGTCAGCTAACATGGATGCATCCAGCTTTATATAGCGATTGAGCACAAACTCACGCAACACACCTCGAGGACACACTTTCGTGGACACGCGCACAGCGCCCACGCAGGTGCTCGCTACTCAGCAAGTGGCGTCCTCTTATCGATAATGTCCTGCAGCAGCTCTGCCAACATCTCACGGTAGATCTCCGACAAGACAGTCGGCAGACTCTGAAGCTCAATGGCCAACTCACGCAAAGGCCGCCGGCCGTGGTCCCCCCAACCCATCTCGACGATCTCCTCTTCCACACTCGCCGCAGACGCCCTTCGCCGTTGCAGCTGCTCCTGATCGATCAACCCAACCGACCCAAAACCAATCGGTCGGTGTCGCACGTTGTGTCGGTGTCTGTCATGCGTATGTGGAGGTTGACGGATAGCCTACCCTGAGTTCGGTGATGTGGCTGGGGTTGTCTCCGAAGTAGTCCATCGTCAGAGGTGACCAGTTGTGATGCAGCAAGCTGGTGTCCATCGGCTGCTCGCCTGCTGCAGCCGGGGCCTCTTCCGTCGCTGCTTGTGGGGGCTTCTCGCTTTCTTCTGGGCCCTGCTCATCTGCGTCGTGATGCTCCTGCTCGTCAGGTGATGTCTCCTCGCCCTCCTCTCTTGGAGCCTCCTCTTCTCCAATTTCCTCGTCATGCTCTTGCTCAAGCCGCTCGTCTGGCGGCCCGCTCTCCTGCTGCTGCTGCTGCTGCTGCTGTTCTTGCCCTTCCTCGACCACTTGATCCGCATCTGCAGTCGCATGTGTCGTCTCAACTTCCCCTTGGTGTGCCAAATCAAGCGCCCGCTCTCCGCCTTTCTCCTCAAGAGGAAATGAAGGGTCGACGGGTGGCGGAGTGGGCGCGGGCGAGTCGTGGAACTGCCGGCAGAGGGGCGGTGGCTGCCGGAGCATGTCCTGGATCAGCCCCGGCAGACTGGGGTCGGCCAGCGCCGCCCTGAAGAGCTCCGTGAAGATGTGCTGGATGACGGGTGCCGCCCGCTCGGCGAGAGGCAGCGAGTGGAAGGCGTCCGTATGCTCGTGTGGCCGGGGGGAGGTGGATGCACTGGGGGAGGTGTCGGTCTCCTCGTGGGTAGCGGCGGCCTCATACTCCTGCGCCAACGAGACACATAACATACTCCTCTGCCTGCGAGAAAGGAGACCCTGTGGTTATATCCCTGGGCCTACCTACCGATGGCACCTCCAGGTGCTGTTTCCTCTTATTGTCGGGCATCTTGGAGGATCGTCTGCTGGCCATGTCGGCCGACTCGTCCGTGGCCGTGGGGCTCACCTCCTCAGACCCCACCACCAACTCATCGTAATTGGGTAGAGCCAGCGGCGGCACACACACAAATCTGTCGTCCGCTTCACCTCCCTCGCAAGTGAACGAGCCGGCGAGGACCTCCACCCGCACGTAGAGAGGCGCCTTGGAGGGCAGAGTGGCGCCGACTTGTGTGGGGTCCTCGAGAACGTCCTCGTCGCCCACCGTGGCGGCCGCCGACGCGTTGGAGCGGCCCTTGCTGTCGTGGCTACTCGACACCTTGGTGAACTCAGAATCGAACTAAGTGACATCCATGCCAACCCACCACATGGGCATGCAGCGGCTGGTTGTCTTTCTTCCCAGCAGTACCTACCTGGTTCTCGAGGCATCTCTGGCCCCCCTTGGTGGCCCTGAGTGCGAAGTAGCGCGAGCGCGTGAGTCGGCTGACGACCGACCGGTGCGGTCCGGTGCGCTGCTGTGAGGCGGGGTCGAGCTTCGAGTAGACTGGCTCGTGCACGTGCACTTTGTGGGTCGCAAACACCTCATGGGGGTCGTCTGCATGGCACGGCGCACAGACATACGGCGCGCCTGTGTGCCCCCCGTTAACCCACCCACCTCTCGATGGCCTCCTCTTGAGTGAGGTGCGCCCATTGCCTTCGCCGTTGGTGGTTGTGGGTGCGGCTACCCATTCGACGCGACACGCGACCTCGCCCGATATGTCCAGCGGCTGGTCGTCGAGCGCCAGGATGAAATGCACCAAACAGTGGTGGCCGCTCCTCAGCACACCTGCAGGCAGTCAGACAGGCAGAAAGACGACACATACACACACGTGGAGACGTATGTGTGCATCTGTTTGTCTGTCTGTCTGTCTGTCTGTCTGGGGTGGCTCGTTGAGGTTGCCAGGGTGGGTGGTGGTTGGCTGACCCTGTGAAGGGACTATCATAACGAGTTGGTTGTCGTCTCCGCCGAGCAGCCCCTGCTGGTCCCACCTGAAGTGCATCTCGTACCGCGGACTCGTGTTGGACAACACCAGCAGCCGGTGACAAAACGCACTGACACACACACAATCTCATGACCAGTGAGTGTATGGATTGGTCCGTGCTGTGCTGTGCTGCGCTTACTTTGGTGGGCATTTCCAGAACTTGACTGCGTCGAGGGAGGTGAATGCAGCACATCTTGGGGGGGCGGTGAAGGTGCGATCTGGCAGGGTGGGGGGGAACTTGCGGTCGACGCACGGCAGGGCGCTTGGGGCGGACCCGTCGGCAGGCTGCTGGTAACCCTCCATGTGCAGCTCAAACGTCAGCGTGTCCAACACCTGCACACACCTAGGTATGTAGGCTGTCGATGATCTTCTCCCCTCCCCTGCCCCCTCTCCCATCCGCCACTTACCGTCGCTTCTGGTGTGTCATCTTTGTGTGTGCGTATGGTGATTGGGCAGGTGTACGTCTTGGCCTCCAGCGGCGTGAAGACAAAGTGGATGTGTGTGGTGGTGAAGGGCTGCAGCACGCCCGAGAGCGGCTGGCACTGGAGGATTTGGAAGCTGAAGTTGTCGCGGCAGAGGTCGGAGAGTGAGGAGGGGTCGAGCTGCCAGTGGGAGGCACTCGACCCCCGGTTGTACACCTCGACCGCCTGGACGGGGCCGGGGTTCATCGACAGAGGGACCGGCTGCAGGTGCTGCATGGCATGCACCAACACGGACAGACAGACAGACAGACAGACAAGGACACTCACCACCAGCAAGACGACTGACCCTCTAGAGGTCGCCCTCACCATACATACCATTATTGACGCCCTGACTTGCAGCTTGGGCACACCGTAAATGATGGCCGCAGCGGTCAAGTAGAGCAGCACCGAGTGTCCCTTGTCGACACTCAGCACCACCGGCAGCACATGTGAGCCCTCCTTCAGTGGGTGGTACGCCAGCCGCAGCTGCATCGAGCCCCGGGCAGAGATGCGCCCGGCGGCAGGGGACACCTCAAACAGCCGCTTCGACTCCACAAAGTCGTAATGCGCCTCCTCCGACCCCTGCATCTGCCCCTGTATGTCCAGGTCATCGGCCCATAAGGGAATGTCCTCGAGGCTCAACTTCTTGGGGGTGAGGAAGCGGAAGGACACGTCAACTGGGGCGGGGTTGTGCAGGGTGAGGGTGAAGTAGGGGGGCACGCCGCCCATGGGAAACGCGCCGCAGTCGAGCGTGAAGCTCTGCAGATGCCGCAGCTGCCGCTTGCGCGCGTCGATGCCCTTGGCGTGCAGGAAGGCACGCTCACCGTCCGTCACTTCGCTGCGGAAGAGCCTGTTGATGTTGTCTGCCTGGAATGAGGCCCACAGGTGGGAGGGCGAGAGGGCGGCGGTGGTGCAGCGGATGTCGACGATCTGGAAGAATGGGTGCATGACGTTGGCTCCCACCCAGAACTTGACCCCGTGAGCCGCGTGGACGCTGCGGGTGCGCGGCCTCAGCGACGCACCACCACCTGCCTCGGCAGCCATGGCGTCCATCTCCATCGACGACGAGGTGCTGGCATGCAGCTCCATTGCAAGTGTCTCCTCTGTCTCGGGTCGCCGCTCGCCTGCACACATCCATCCATCCATCCATGACTCCTCTGTGCGAGTGTGTGTCTGCTCCCGTCTCACTGCGGTGGTGGGTGTTCCTGGGAAACGTCAGCTGTCGCCGCTCCAGGAACTTGTCTGAGGGCTGCGCGAACGGCACCACGTTGACGCAGTACTGATGGGGCCCCCGGACCATCGGCGCAAAAGTGAAGCGGATCCTCTCGGTGCAGCGGCCCTCTATGACGCCATCGCCCTCTGTACCCGCCGCCACGCGCAGTGCCCCGTCGGCTTGTCTGGACCTGTCTTGGTCCCAGTAGACGGAGCCCCTGGTCTGCTGCCTGTCCAGCTGGTTGAGCTCGTCATCGCATGGAGGGGGCAGGGGGGAAGGCGGCGAGTGGGGGTGCTGGGGCGGAGCTGCGGCAGCTGCCGCTGCTGCAGTGCCGGCGGGCTCTGCAGTAAACAAAAATCCCACATGCACGACGTATCATCCATTACGCTTGCTCTACCCGTGTTGGTTTCGGTGTCATGGGGCTGGTCGAATGCGGAGGGCGGCCCTATGGGTGGAGGTGTGGATCGGCCGAACAGGTCGTCGGATGGCTCCTGGGGGCAGAACTGCACCTCAACCGTGTAGTAGATGGCCGACGTCGAGTTGTTGTGAAGCGTCACCTGCACAAACCCACACACACACATGTGTGTGCACCAGACAGTGATGCCAATTCCCTTCCCACCTGTCCTTCGACAGTATCGAGCGCCGCGACGTCTCCGAGGTCAACGTCGCATGGCGACACAGACAGCACAGGGCCGGTCGCCTGACCCACCAGACGAAGCGCCAACTCGCAACTACGGGGGGAGGGCGCGGGCGGGGGCGTCACCAGCTGCCTCAGCGGACCCAACACCGCCTGCAAGGCACCCAAACAACACAGACGTTCCCCTATCGACCGAGGGCTCGTCTGTGTCTCGCCTCGTCTCGCCTGTGTGTCATCTGCTGCGGCGCGTAGAGCCACATAGAGGGGTGTGGCATATGTCTTGGCTTCAGCGGGGTAGAACTGGCACGGCAGCGACACCTCCTCTGCCGGCCCCAGGTAGCCACTGGGGCAGGGGAGAGTGAAGTGGGGCGTCGCCTTGGGCGGCAGGCGGCACGAGAACGTCAGGGGGATCTCGGTGGCGTTGCGGAGGGGCACCACGTCCGTACCCGCCACCCCTGCACATGTCGGAGGGAAAAACTGTACACACACATACATGTCATGGCATGCCATGCATCACAAATGAATGGAAACGAGGCACGACTTGCCATTCTGCGTCTGACTGACCATTTCAGATTTGCCATGTGCCAGGACGCCTTTCGGCATCCACGCGCGGCCTGCGACAGCGATGGGCAGGACAGACTTGTCATCTTCGTTGAGGACGAGCTGGAAGGTGGCGGTGAGGGGGGTGGTGTTGGCGGCCTGCGTGGGGCGGAACTCGAACAGCAGCAGATGGAAGGTGTGGGGCGGGACACAGCCGCACTTGGGGTACGCCCTGAGAAAGACGCCACACAGGGCGTGTTATCCCTCTGTGGCCCACTCGTGGCCTCTTCATCGGCTACCTGAATATGAAAGGGTTTGACGGCGGGAGGGCCGATTCGTCCTCCGTCGACGGGAGCCTGGCCGCCAGCTGAGCGTCCCGGAAGCGGTACGACATTGGCGTGTCCGACTGGTTGCGCAGCTGCAGCACGTGATACCGCCCCTCACCTGCGCACACACAAAACAACATCCACTCAACAACACCATGACCATTGCCTTCTGAGCGGAAGGCTCACAAACCCACCCACACACCCATTCACGCCGTTCACGGACCAATGGCACATGGCCTGAATCGGATGGCCGTCTCGGACAGTTCGCTGTGCGGCACGTACTTGTTCGCCCCCGCGACGAAGGAGTTGCCCATGGCGAGGCAGCCGGCCGACCAAGGAGGCGTGAACCGGTGCGCGTCCACCAAACGAAAGGAGCGGTTGACCTTGGGGTACACGTTGGCCTCCAGACGGGCGGTGTCGAAGGTGCCCACGGCTGACGGCCGATAGCACACCCTTCATCAGACAGAGAGACACAAGACGAATGGCTGGCTGGATTGATGGTGTGTGAGTTTTGCCGTGCTGATATGCAGAGTGGCTCACTGACTTGAAGTCCGTGCTTGAGTGCGGCAGGATGTCCTTTTGCTCCGGGAGCACCACGAAGGGCGCCGCATCGCCTTTGTCGAGCGGCGGCTTTGTCTGCTCTGGGATGAGCCACACGCACGACACCTTCTGCGACGTCTGGTTGGCCACCGTGACGACACGTGGCTGTGACATGGTCAGAGGCGAACAGGAACCGAAGTCGAGCACATCAGGCGACACACATATGTCCCTACACGCACACACACCAGCCAGAAAGCAATGCAATCAACGTTGTATGTCTTTTTCCCATGATCGGTCCAGGTGATGCACCTAAGAGATGAAGCGTCATCGAGCAGCAGGTCCATGTAAAGGGCAGTGGGGGTCTCCTCAGGTGGCGCCACAACCGCCGTCTCGCCCTCTCTCTCAGGCGGCGGCACGTCCTTCGGGAACTCTCTCTGGCCGCCAAGCTGCATCTTACTTCACACATGGGAAAACAAACATCCACACGTGACGGCCAGCCGGAGCGCTCTTTCCCCCGCTACTCACCGGAAGGACCACACATGGCTAATGGCGAGTGGCGCCGGGCGGCTGGGCGCATTGGGAGCGGGATCAAAGCAGGTCAGGACGACATCGAGGGTCAGCGGCCCCTCGGTACCCTTGACGAGACAGTAGAACCTTTTGAAGTAGTTGGCTGCCGCGGTGGGCCAGCCGTACATGGTCATGTTGATGAAGGAGGAGGCCGGAACGACGCCCGAGGGCCGGTCGAGGAAGAAGACAGACGTGCCAGCGGGGTCCATCTGGGGAAAGTGGTACGGCAGCGGCAGCGGGCTGCCGTTCTCCAGCTGAAACACACGGGACGTCTGCAAGGCAGGCAGAGAGGCAGGCAGGCAGGCAGAGAAAGACTAGTAATGATAGGCATGCGCTCGGTAGGTATGCCGACCCTTTTGCCGGTCGGTACGTCGCCGAATGAGAGCTTGGGTGTCGAAATGGTGACGGGGTGGGGGTCGATGTGCCCCACACACGTGAGACAGAGAGGCACTCCGCTCTTCATCCGCACCTGGGCACACACACACACACACACGGATGCCGACAGCACTCTCCACTGATTATTCTGGGGCGCATCCACCTGGAATCTCTGCCGCGATGTCTCCCCGACCGTCCAGCTCTGGAAGGCGAATTTCAGCTCGAGAGTGCCCTCAGGAGGGATGACGCCCCGTGTAGGGGTCACACGAAAGGGCAAAGGAGGCAGGGGAGCGATCTCATGAGGGCCCGACGCGGCGCACACCTCAAACGACGTCCTCACGGGTGTTGTGTTCTGCACCAACATTTTGGTCTCCTGCCGCACCCCCGGGGCTGCACACCCGAAATGGATCTCGGGCGCGGCGCTGCGGGGCAGCTTCAAGTGAGCCACCTTGGCGATGCCCGTCACACCCATCTGCCGCAACAGGCCTCCTTGGCCCTCTTCGTGAGCCTCGATCTCCAGCACATCAACATCTGTGCCGTCATCAGCACGGCCGTGACAAGTGACCGTCGCGTCGTAAACCGATGCTCGGTCCGGCGTGAAGGACACGGTGCACTCGACGGCCCCCCTGACGGGCACGCAGCCGGCCGCTGGGGAGACAGAGAATGGAGGGAGGGAGTGCCATCGGAAGCGGCAGGGGAGGGTGCCCGTGTTGTAGACGTAGATGGGCACGGACGTCACTTCGTTCACGGGACAGAGACCGAAATCCACGCCCTCTGGGACGGTGAGGGAAGCCTCCCTCACAAGCGCCTGGCCGGCAGACACAGGGATGCACCGACAGCCATTCGACCCCATGAATGCATGAGTGCCTACCTTGACGGCCACGTGGAAGGTGCCCTTCTTGGTGATGATTTCGATTGAGTCGACGTACGGCTGGTACATGATGGGCCTGAAGGCCACGATGAGGACCTTCTCCATCCCGGGCGGCAGCTTGATAGTCTGGGGGAAGTCCATGTTGAAGAGCTTGGTCTTGGGCACTTTGTACTGCACTGTCTGGGTGACCAGGCTGACATTCCGGATCACCAGCCGCTTCTTCACCTCACCGCCGACCGTCCAGTTCTGCCATATAAGTTCATCCTCACAGTCGATGCCTGCAAGGGAAAAACCAAGGGAAGAAATCCAGTGACGTGGCCACTCTGTGCGTAAGGATGATGGAGCACCTCGTACACGCAACGTTCACCAATGATGACGAGCGAGCCGTTGGTTGGTGAACGTTGCGTGCACGACAGACACTTGCTACTTGTGTATCCTCCCACCCACCATAGGACTGCGAACGCTCGAAACGCGTCATCGGTCGCTCGATTGCCCTGCATTCACCTTTTTCACTACCACCAGAGGGCAGGTTCTGAAGCTGCGGCTTGAGCTCGATGCTGGCATCCATGGCCTCCATTGTTTGCGGCCCGAGGAAAAAGACTGGGGGCGCCCCCACTCTGTCTGGAAAAGATCGCGCTCGAAATTCCTGTGAGGTTTGCCTACTTTTTTCCTCGCCCTATTCCCGAGCACAGGAATACAGGCGAAGAGGCATTGGTTGAGAGGGCATCTCATTTCCGCGTTTTTGTGATGGTGGGCGAGGTAATGGAGTCGTTCACGGAGTCCGACCCCGAGGCGAAGAGCACCACTCGGCTGCCTAAGCCTGCACAGGTCAGTCAGAGGATACAGACCGAGAGGAGAGGCCAGTCAATCAATCTCTCTCTCTCATTCGTGTGGCTGTACGTGTGGGTGTGTATATATGCAGCGCAGCGACGGCATTTCATCAGTGCTTGCGCAGTGGAAGTGTGCCGTGGAGAGTGGCGACGCGTCGGCCGTGTCGGAGCTGTACAGCGACTCGTCCTCGCTCATCCTCAACATCCCTCCCGACGGCAAGTCGGCGTCGGCTGGCCTGCACAAGGGAAATGGCAACATCATGCTGGCATTCCAAGAACTATTCAACCAGACCAAGGTGACGTACGTGACCGAAGCTGCCTGCCTGTACATGTGCGTGTCGGTCGTGTTGACGTGGTGTGTGTCGGTTTTTTGTTGTGTTGTGTGTCAGGTTGAGGTTCTGGTGTCGTCTGATGTGAGTGAGAGCGACCTCACGGACCTCGGCAGAGCAACCGCCTACTCGGGCCACTGCAACCTCCTATTCACGGACGACAAATACATATCAGAGGTACATCTCATCTAGACGCATACACAGACACACAACACAACCGAGTGGCGTGTTCTTCATGACTGTTGGTTGTTGTGTGTTTGTTTCGCTCTCAGGCTCGCTGCAGCTTCACGTTTGTGTTCGGCAGCCCCTCGAGTACGACCTGGGAGGAGGACAAGGAGGGCGGCGGCGGCTTCTCGCGGGCGTCGACCACCAGCAGCAAATCGAGCGAGCACACCTCACCCACACACGGGTCGGTGCACAGCGACTCCGACGGCGACCAGGGGCAGGCTCACACGCAGGCCGACAAGCAGCTGGCCATTCTGGTCAACACGCTGGTCCTCACGCCCGGCTCTTTCATTCGAACGAGAATCTACCAGTGACAGCGACTTAGCCAGACAGACAGGGTGCCAGCCTGACACATGGGGGGTGGGTGCTCTCTTCATATGCGTATGTATGTATCTGTGCGTGTTTTGTTTGTCGGGCAATGGGGTGTTGGTGTGAGGGCGGGGGAACAGACGGAGGGAGGAGGGGAGGGGGGGAGCGACCGAGCGAGAGAGATCCGTTCACGTCCGTCCGTATCCATGAGATGCGCACACATGTGTGACACACAGCAGCTGTACAGTCAGTACGTAATGTAGGCAGGCACATCCGTCCGTCCGTCGGTCCGTCGGGTGTGCGGCACTTGCATGCTTTTTACCGGCGGTGCCAGCGCCCGCTTGACGGATCCGTGACACGCCATAACACATACATACCTGTGCTGTGCCGCGCTGTGTGTGGAACCAAGCGGCCAGCCGTATACGCGCGGTGATGCGGTAGAGAGACGGAGGGAGGGAGGGAGGGAGGGAAAGCCAGGACTCACTCACTCGCTCATGCCGACTGACACACTCACCGCACCACACCACACTTGTGTTGTGTGAGTGGATATCACACACTTGGTCGCATTTTTGAATGAATGGCTATCTATCCATCGTGATTGAGACAGAATTCACGGCCTACCTGCCTGGATGAGTCGCCCTGCCTGAATGAATGCTTTGCCACGCTTTTCCTTTGACCCCCCATCCTATCCAATCCTGCCTGCCTGCCGCCTTGCCGCCCTGCCTGCCTGGCTGCCTTGATGATCCATGGTGGTGCATCCATCCTCGTGAGGCTCTGTGTGACCACTGCGCTGGCATACATACATATGCCACACACGCGGCCTCCGTGCCATCCTGTTCCGTGCATGCAATGCATTCAGACGGGAGGGGGGGAGGGAGGGGTTGCGTGTGGGCGTTTTGTGTGCGTGTTGTTCGTTCCAAGCGGGTTGTTTTTATGTGTACGGACTGTGTGAATGCTATGTATGTGCAGAAGGAAGGACGTATGTGTGTGTGGATGCGCCGTATTTGACAGTCTGTGTACGACGCCTGATTGGAATGGATTGTACTGCTGGCTGGGATTGTCTGTCTGCATGAACGAACCTGATTTTCCGACATGTATTACGTGTGTCGACGTACTGCCTGCCTGCCTGCCTGCCTGCCTGCAATGGTTCATGACGGATTGATTGATGTGGACAACCCGACTGAGGTTTTGGCTGACTGTCGCTGCGGGCGCGACACGTCTGTTTGGGTGTCTCTTGCCTGCCTGCCTGCCTGTCTGTGTGCCTGTGTGTGTGTTTGGATGATCACCGTGTTCATCCACGCAGATGACTGGAACCACACGCCGTGTCCTCCTCTGAGAGAGCGGTTTCACGCATCGAAGGTTGCCCGAGTTCGTGCAGCGTGAAACAAACGGAATGGATCTTCCCTCGGTTTTCCGTATGCTGCTATTCCCTCCCTGAATGCAACTGCGAATGATGTGAAGGCGCGTTGAGCGCCAGGCAGAAAGCGGCTCACACCGCGGCCTCTTTCTTTCCGTCCGGTGACCGCATCCGAGAACGGGTGTCTTGGCTTCGGCATGCTTCGCATCGAAACTGGCACGGATGGTTGTGAGAGAAATATACCTTCTTGCCGTCCTTTTGGCTGTCCTCGCCTTCAGTGCTTCGGGCTCGGTGAGTGAGTCACAACCACAATCTCGCGCACAGCACAAAACAGCACAGTGTCACGTCTGTCGTGCGTCGTGTGGCTACACATTCAGGGAGATGGTCCAGTGACAGTGGACGAGGTCCCGCAGCACCGCCCCTCCTTCAGAGGCAGCACGACGCAGCAGCAGCAGCTCTGCCCTCACTGCGCACTGCACGTCCACGTCGACGGCCCAGCAGCGTGCCTCGACCACATCAACTCGGCGCGGTTCGACGCCTGCGCACGGATCTGCGCCGACGCACGGATGACGGGGGTGTGTCCGGAGGGCATCGTCGATTGGCCAGTGGAGCAACAGTCGGAGGGCTGCGCGCGGCGGTGCATCCAGGAGTATGAGGTGCAGGCCGACTGCTCGTGCACGGAGGGCGGGCTGCTGAGTGAGCCGAGGAACTGCCAGCTCGTGAGGCTGTATTATGAGCAGTCGTGCTGTGACGTCAAGCCTGGAGAATGCTCTTGATGGGTTCAGCCGTGCTGCTAGTGTTTGTGCGATGTGTGTCGCTGTATTATTTTTTCTTTTTTTTGTGTGTGGATGGGAAGATTGGGGAGGGAGGTGTTGGCTGGGCTGAGCTGTGCTGTGTTGGCTGGTAGGTCATTTGTGGTGCAGCGTGTGCGTGCGTGGCATTAGTCAATGCAGCCAGCAACCGAGCAGGCAGGTGCGCAAGGCGCTCGTCGAGCCATAGTGCAGAAGGTAGCTTGGCCACCCCATTAGTCAGAAGGGAGGCTGGCAGCACAGCACCGTCGGCTGAGCGCTCTTGCTTTGTTTGTCGGTTCATTCATTCGTTGCTGTTGGCTGATGTGTGTGTTGATTAACTGAGCTTTCGTTTCGGCTGTTGGCTCCCGGTGCGCGTGTGTAAGTCAGGTTTGTGTGGTTGTGTCGTCGCGGCCTGCCTTGTGCTTTCGGCTCTCTGTAATGCCTGTGTGAGTGTGGTCGATGAGGTGGTGGGTGGCTGTGTGCGTGTGGCATGGGGGGAGGGGGGGGAGGGAGGGAGGGAATGTGATCAATGTACCGACGCCGTGTGTTGGCTGGTTGGAGGTCGGTCATGTACGTATTTATCTCTGTGATGTGCGCAGATCTCTTGTAGGGCATCTCTCAATCTGTGAGTGGCTCCGGGTCTGCCAGTGCATGTGCCCATGTGTGTGCATATTGTGGATTGCATGTGCGTGTGGGGACGGACCAGTCATTGGCTGCATCCGTGTGGAATGGGGTGCGTGTAATTGTCTGTCTGCCTCCTCAACTCTTTTATGTATAAATCGGTGCACAGATCTGCCCATCTTCGCTCGGCCAAGAATCCACAACCTCGCCGGGATCTGCGCCAGTTTGAAGTGCTGCCCGTCGCCATTATGGCTGCGTCGTCGGCATCTGGAGTGCCTCCGGTGTCTGGAGTGCCTCCGGTGTTGGGAGGCTCAGGTTATCGTCCTCCAGCCGCATTTGGCAGCGGCGTGCGCCACGGTGTGGGTCTGGCGTGCCACATCGGCGGCCGAGCGACGGAAGTCTGGACGGCAGCCGTCAAGAACGACGTCACGTTCGCCATCAGCAGAGAGCTGGCACTCCGGATAAAGTCCGCACAGATCGGTGGGTGCGGGAGAGATGGAGGGAAGGATGGGATGGCCACGGAGAGAGGACGCCATTCGGCATTGGCGCCATGTATGTGTGTGTTGTGTGCTGTGTGCTGTGTGTGGTTGCTGCATCAGATCCTCCGTGTGAGTTGGAGCCGGTGGTGAAGAGCCTGGGTCTGTCGGAGCCGCCGTACGCCATCTTTTTGGTGCTGGACCGGCAGGCGATGAACAAGCTGCTGTTCAACAAGAAGGAGCTGGCCGCCGTCCAGGAGCAGAAAGACGAGCCCCTCAAACGCATCCTACAGGACCAGGCACGATACGATGCACACACATCAGATGGATACCGCCTCACCACACACAGTCAGAGAGAGAGAGAGAGAGAATGGATGGATGGATGGTTGGATGGATGTTGGGTGCAGTGGTTGAAGTTGAAGGGCATGCCTTCGGTGCAGAGGGGGCAGACCAAGATCGGCATCATCTACCTAGCACAGGTGCGGACGTTTGGATGGATGGATGGATGGATCTATCAAGCACACACACATCTCCAGCCACAAATAAATAGGATGGCCTGGCCTTTTCCTCCCTGTGTGTGTGTGTCTATGTGTGTGAGTTCAGTCGCAGGCAGAGTTGGACAGAGATCGCAAGTAGGATATGGAATGGAAAGGAAGACACACGCACACTCCTACACATACACATGGATGGACAAATGTGATGTGATGTGATGTGATGTGGTGCAGTCACCACATGTTGCGTGAGATGGGTCTGCCGATGGGTGTCGTGTGCGACGAGGTGGGCCCGGAGCTGCTCAAACACATCAGCGGCGCCATCAAAAAGATATGCGACATGACCAGACGTACGCACATATAACATGACCGACCAACACACAAACGCACCGCACACCCATCGACAAACTTTCCATCTCTTCCTCTTTCCGCCCTACCCCTCTTTGCCTTTGCAGCCGCTGGGTGCGTAAGCCCATCCATCCATCCATCCAGCAGCCCTTTCTCGGCCGGTTTCGTGTGTGTGTGTGTGTGTGTATGTGTGTGTCGTTTGTGCAGCGGTGTAGGGAGTTCGTTGCAGTCGCGTGTGGGTGGCCACCTGTATGCGACCCCCGGCCAGATGTCTGACAGCGTGGCGTCGGCGGACATGATACACTGCGACCCGCAGGGCCGCTGGACCATGCAGGACTTCGACGTAGGATGCAAACTGGTACTCGCGCGCACACACACAAATGCACACATGGACGGGCGGATGTGTCTCGTGCGTTGACTTGTGTGTAGGGTGACGGCCGCTACGGTGCGGTGTACGTTGGTCGCGAGCGCCGCACGGGCTACATCGTGGCCATCAAAATCATGACCAAGTCGCAGATCATCTCGTATGTCAGCTGGCACACAAGGACAACACACACGCACCACACACATACACCCCTCTCTCCCCCTCCCTCCCTCCCTCCCTCTCTGTGTCTGGGCGTGTGTGTGGTTGGTTGGTTGGCATCAGGGAGGGCGCGGAGAAGAACGTAGTCGTAGAGATAGAGAATCAGGGGCACCTCAGACACCCAAACATACTCCGGTATCGCACCCACACCCGCAGAACCATTCACACCCACTTCACCCTCCCTCCCTCCCTCCCTCCCCCTGTGTGCCCATATATGTCGATGTGTGTGTGTGTGTGTGTGTGTAGCATGTTGACGTTTTTCTGGGACGACAAGAAGATCTACTTGGTGTTGGAGTGCATGCCCGACGGCGACCTCTTCCACAAGATACCAGCCGACGGACTCGGAGAGACCCAGGCCGCCGGGTCAGCCTGATGAATGGATGGATGGATGGATGGATGGGCACCACACACAGAGACACACAGACGCACAGGCACACACTCGAGGGGACGTCTTGTGTGTTGTGTGTTGTGTTGAGTTTAGGTACATGAAGCAGATCATCTGGGCGTTGAAGTACCTCCACTCCAAACACATCATCCACAGAGACATCAAACCAGTACGCACAATACAAAGGCAGACAGACAGACAGACAGTAACAAGACCAGACCACCACAATGCATCACACAGCGCAGCACAGCACTCTCTCCCAAGGCTAGGCTGTGTGCACGTGTCGGCTGCAGGAGAACATCCTCGTAGGCTCGTTCGATGGCGGGGTCGGCACTGAATACACACATGCCGCCAACAACACATGACACAAGCACAGGCTCACACGCCTCCCTGCCTGTGTGTATCCTTCAGAAATCGATGCACTGCCTCAAACTCGTAGCACACATCATAATCAATACCCACAAACAATACACACATAAACACATACACACCCATGCAGACCAAGCCGCTCTCTTGATGTGTGTCTTGGTGTGTGTCTTGATGCATCAGGCTGACTTCGGCTGGTCGGACCACTCGCGCGCCCGGCCCCGCGGCCGCAAGACATTCTGCGGCACCGCAGGTCAACACCGCACCACACCCCTCCACACACACAGAAGACTAGATGAAGAAGAGCTGTTCGTTTCTTTCATTTCATTGCTTCAGACTACATCCCGCCCGAGATGCTGCGCAAGGAGCGTTATGGTGCTGAGGCCGACATATGGGCACTCGGCGTACTCGCATACGAACTCTGTGTACGCACCCACAGATGCACCGCCACACACACCGATTCATCCATGTGTGTTTTGTGTGTGTGTGTGTGTGTGATGACCAGTCATCGCACGCGCCGTTCAAGGCCGATCCCGACGAGGACGCGCAGAAAGAGGCAATCAAAAACCTCAGACAGCAGGTACTTGACCAACCACACAGACACACACACACATACATACGTGGCCAACCACACACCAGACGCAACGCACGGGACGTCTGTCTGTCTGTCTGTCTGTCTGCATTCAGTACCCGGACAAGTTCAGCACCGAGTTGCGCGAGTTCATCGATATGTGCCTGCACAAGGTGGGTTGGCAGGTGGCTGACATATATACACACACACACGCGTATGGCCGCCAGAAGAGAGCCCCCTGCCCTGCCCTCCC